ACGTTCAGGATAATTACTATTAGAATTATCATGTTTACTATTCGTTGATTTAAAGTAGAGTGAAAATCCAAAGCTGGAAGTAAATCTTGAATTTTAGATACTACTAAAACTATGAAAGCAAGGTAAAGGGCATTCCTGTTCAGTAATGTCCGGCTCTAGGGCACCGTGCTCATTTTTGTTTCTTGGCCAAAGGAGCCAGCATTGTCCAAAGACAATTTCCATGGTCATGTGGCCAGATATGCCAAGGCACACAGAATCCTGTTACCTTTCCATCAAAGTGGTACTTATTTATCTACTTGCATTTGCATGCTTTCGAACAACTGGTGGGCCAGAGCTGGGACAAGTAATGGCAACTCACCCCATAGCAAGGGGCTCAGGTCTCAAATCCAGGCTGTCAGCTTTCCAGCTAACAAGCTCAGCATCTTTAATCACAGTGCCATCACGTTCCTATGAAAACAAAATATATTTTAACTGAATATATTGCCATTCCTGATCATCCAAATTCACTTGCTGAAATACAAAGGATTTAAAAATGTGGTTGGTAATAAGCAGATCTAAAATACTAATACTGCTACGTGCTCATAAATTCCAAAAGGCAGCTTTACGGCATTTATGTAACTGGGATTTCCATGCTATATATTGTTCATGTAGGATGAACATCAGGATGGAAGATATACTTCCATTCTTTTATCTACACCCTGCAGATCTTTATCTTGGAAATACAGCTGAATGTTTAAATAATTTGGTGCAAAAAGTATCTAATTGTGCTCTGGGTGGTTTTGGAACCCAATCACTTGGATTTAATCTGAAAATAAAGTGGAAGGTCAGGAAAATTAAAGTCGCCATAATCCTATCTAGCCATATTTGAGTAAAAGAAATCTTTCGACAAAGGAACTATAATGGGATAGCCTAGACTCTAGGGGGGATATCCTTCCAATTTAAAGAAATCCTTAATAATTAATCAATCAATCTACTTGAAATACCTTACAGATATTAACATCCATTTCAATCAGCCTTGGAAAATAATGAGCGTCTCTAAATCAATTAGTGATGCTTCTTTTCTTCTCCAAATTCCTGGAAGCCTAATCCTAATCCAAGTGGACTTCCATTCCAATACGATTGTTTTCATGTATTTATCCAGTCAAGGAAAACAAGGTGAATTTGAAATGAAAGATTTTTTCTAAGGTCTTTTGTACAAGATTTATCTAAACCCATAAACTCACTGGGGATTTTCACCATCTATTGATTTTAAGAATAGTAAATGTTGATATGTCATTTATTATGAATAGTAATGAATGGTAGTACGAAATACATTGTTTGATAGACTTACAGTACATTTTTACAATTCACAAATGGAGAACTCCTCCCTAAGTAATTATTCTAGGATATTTACAAAAATTCAACCTTCCTCAGAACCGTGAATGAGCAGCTGGTTTATGATATTCTTCATTCTCATGTTGGACCAAGATAAAGGCAATGTCATGGGGATATAGCAAAAATGTCATGATATACTAGGGATATGGGTAGGGATAAGTGGGGAAACGCACATCAGCTCATATTTCTCCATGTTGTGAGAAAACAAAACAAATACCACATATGTGCGTATACACACCTGAACAGATATCTCCATTTTCTGTTGCAATGAACGCATTAAATTCATATGTGCTGAAGGCACATGCAGGATATTTCTTTTGCTGCTGTAATACATTTTATAACTCTTCTACGGATGTAACCTGGGTGTGCAGTAGCAGCTAGATATCAGCAAATGCCAACACTCCACAGGTCCTTTTGAAGTAATAAACTCCAGATGGGAGGGGGGGTGGGAAGAATAATAAAGACAGTCCATCATTCATCAGTGACCAGGATCACATTTCAGAAGTGCAAAAGAGAAATATAATGAGTAAACTTCCACTTCTAACATATTTTTATGGGTTGGGAAAGATAGATTTCACCTTTAGAATCACACATTTTTTCTGAATGTTTCTGTTGCTTTAATTTTCTGTCTTCAAGGTGATAATGACTGTAATTGCATATTATCTATTTTGCATAAAGTCTGTTTTAGCACCAACTCATCTCAGCAGAACAGCACTACTTCAAACATTCTCCCTGTAGTTTCCCTGTTGCAAGTACATAGTGAATCTGTGGACATATTTACCTCCCCCGTAGCCTTTTTGAAGGCAGGTGGTCATACTTAAGATCCTTTCAAACAAAGCTGTTATTTTCTCAGAACACCATTGGAGCTAAAGGCGCTAAAGGCAATCTTAATAATGCTAGAGGCTGGCATTGTCCTTTCAACCTACCAGCTGCACATTATTTACCTTTGAAATAAACTGATTAATGTATAATATTATTTCAGTTAGATAGGATAAGCATCAGAAGGAGCCAGCCATACAGGGTGACTGGGATATCATACTGTCTACATCTACACTGGGCTAACCTTTTAAAACATATGTTTACAGTTCAGTACTACATGAAAATCTGGCAGTGCCTATCCCGATTCCACTTGAACTGAGCTTTGTAAAGGGTAGTAGCAATAATGTTGAAGAGCAGCAGGGAGAATCACAACTAAGACAATGGTCGGACAAAAGAAATATGAATCCAAGGCAGAAACATAATTTGAGAAATCTCTCAAGGCTTCACTCTCTCTAGTTCCCTTGAAGATGGAGGAGGAGAGAAGTGCATTCAGACTTTCAAGATTGATTTCAGCCTTTTGAAATGTAGACCAGATTGGGAAATCCATATTATGAATCTTGATGCTATTTTTATTATAAGATTACATACAGGATCTTGTATCTCCCACCCTTTATCTTGCAGGAAAGCAGGAAGCAGAAGGTGCTCTTAACTCCATGTATATTCTCTGCTGACATTTCTCAAAATACGCTGAAGCATTCTTTTGGGGAATGTTGCCATTTGTTTTTCCCACTTTCTCTTTAAAATTCTTTTCATATCTAGATATCTGTCTTTATTGCTATTAAAAGGGAATCTCTCATTACAATATTTCCCACATGTAACCACAGCTATTCTTGTGGTTTAGCATTAGCAAATTCTGCATTTCAAGAACAGAAAGATTGAAGAAAAATGCCATTTATTTTGGTGTTTTATTCTTAATGGCTTTGGGGGATTTCCTTTACAATTTTTAGTATTTCAACAACCTTTTCCCCTCAGGTGTGTATTCTATTCCATTCCATTCCTTCACATAAAACATTACTGTTTCTGCTATGAAAACCTTTAATCACCCTGGCAGAAGGCTGATTAACGCAATTCAGATTCATAAATCTAAGTACTATCGATATAAAATATTTGGTTTCCCTGAGCTGAATTGATACAGATGATTTTTTATGTGTCACAATAAAGACTATTAGAGCTGGTTCTAATTGCAGCCTCAGATTGTGCTCCCATACTATTGTGTAATTTTCACCTCTAAACAATGGTTTACACTGCAATATATGCAGGTGATATACTAGTGGCTTAGAGATACTAGAAACACCAAATCAGGTGCTGCACACTCAGGTGTGATATATAAAAAATAATTCTTCTCATTTTCTATATTCCCAAATAATGCCTGGAGATTCTGTTTGGTCCATTTTAATATATTAAATTTGCATATCATAAATTTCTGATTTGGTCCATTTTGGTTTTATTCAACTTGCATATCATCAATTTGTCTTCATATCTGTCAAATTTGTTCCAATCTGAAGATGACTCTGTACTGTAATTATTTATCTTTGCAACTTAATTATTAGCTTATTGAAGATAATAGGAGTTAGAGCTCAACTGCCACATATACTGATATTTATCTGCTGGGTTGGGAGAAATATTGGAAGAGTAACTTTGACAATATCATCTAATTAGGTAACAAAATTGAAGCCAACTATTGATTTAAAATAACTGTCAAAAGGATACTTAAATTTGTGGCAGAAAGTGCTCCAAATCGATCCAAATCAGATTCAGCTATTTTTTAAATAAGAAACAATTATTGTAATTGATGCACACAATTGGGTACAACATAACAAAAAATTCAGAAATAACTGAAATACTGGATCAAATATATGCTTTTATTAAAAAAATATGTCCA